ACAACACCGCTTCTTGGCAATATCCAGCCAGATTTAAACTCTCCAAACCCTCTACCAACTAGGTCAGAGATCCTCTGAACTATAGAGAATCTATCTCTCCATACACTCTCTTAATCTAAGGGTGTATGGGAAAAGAAGAAGAAAGAAATAGACCTGCTCTGATGCCAAGATGTAAATCAGTCCTCAAATATTAGGTGTAACTTTGAAGATTAGAAGAAAAAGGAAGAAGAGAAGTAAGAGCAGCAACACAAGAGAAGAAGATGGCGAAAAGAGAAGGAAGAAGAAGAAGAATYRAATTMTCTTCCCTTTCTCCTCTAATCCTTTTTTTATTAAGAATTAAAGTTAGAGTAATGACAAGTATGCCCTTAAGTGGGCGGCCAGCTAGGCAGTAACATAAAGAGATTAAACAAAAAGAAATAACAGGCCCATTAAGAGAGGCCCATTAGCCAACAATAAAAGAAAAGATATTACAAGAGAAGATACTAGGACCTATTCGGCCCAGTCTCTTTACAGCATCATTAGCCAAAACCGGGCCACTGAACACCCAATAGATGTAGCCTTCAGAATTATAAAAGACTCCTCCTATACCTTCTGCCAAAAGGGTGTCTGAGGCTCTTCTTAAACTACCATCAAACCTCAAAATGAAAGCAGTCTTTGGCATTGGGAAAAGGAAGGCTGAATCTCAATAGGAGAAGAATGGAAGATGTGTAGAAGGTTTTTGTTTAAATCCCCATGGTTAAAACCTGTGAAAGCCTTGTTAGTCTTCATCAAAGACAGCAATTGAGTCAAAACTCTATTCTATAAACAAGCTATGGAGGAGGTTTTATTCAAAAACTCTTTTGTTCCTCTCTTCTCACTCTCATTGTTGTTCAGTGACTAGTCCTCAAGGTCTAATTTACCCTGCTAGAATTTGGCACTACCCTGCACTTCTCAAAAATGAAAGATCATGTGATATGCTTGCTTTATAATATCTTATTATGACAGTTCTTATTTTGTATCTTGCTTTCTTTGTTAATAAAATCATTTCCAGTTGCTGATAAAAACGATTCATATTACCAAGTCCTTTCATGTAAGACTCCTATTATTGTGGGAGGCTTGATAAGTGTACGTATTGCATTTCCCTTATTTTTCTTTATAAATTTTGTGTTATCTATCATAAGAAAAAAATGGTTGATTCTTTGGGGTATTTTGGAGGAGTGCAATTCTCAAATTTTCCCTTCTTTTTGGATTTGCATTTGGGAGGTTATTGACTGGAACGTTTTTGTACTACTCACTGAGTGCTCTGTGAAGGAGCTGTTTATCTTAGTTGATTCAATTATCAAAGATTGGTACATGTCACTTAGACCTTACTCATTTTTTTGATTGCTAACTGTAAATTAGTGGATCCTTTTAGCAGACTTCTTTCTTGGGCTGATAGAGAAGGTATAATTAGTGGCTTAGGAGTGGGCAGAAATAGGGCACTGGTCACTCATTTACAGTTTGCAGATGGACATAATCATTCTTTGTGAGGGGGAAGACTTGGGGAAGGTGAGGAATCAGGTCAATTTGTTTGAGAAGATATCTAATTTAAAATTCAGTTTCAACAAGAGTTGTATGGTAAGGATCAGTTTAGCAGATGAGGTGGTGGATTCCATTGCAGATACCCTTGGTTGTACTATTAATTCTTGGCCTTTGAAGTTTGAATTACCTAGGATTCCCTCTAGGTGCAAATCCAAAGGGTACAAGTTTCTGGAACCCAATTGTAGAAAAGTTTGCAAAGGAGACTAGCAACCTAGAAGAGGAATTGTAGATCCCCCAAAAGGAAGTTTGTAAGTTGGAAAAGTTGATGAGGGATTTCCTTTGGGAGCCGGAAGAGAGCAAAAAGGACCACTTAAAGTGGGAGGTTGTGTCTAGAAGTAAGGATGGTGGTTTCTGTATAGGGAAGTTAGCAAAGAAGAATATTAGCAGCTCTATTAGCAAAGTGGTTGTGGAGATGTCCTCTTGAGAGGGAAAAGTTGTGGAGTAGAGTGGTGACAGGCATTCATGGAGTCTCAAGTAATGGCCAGGATGCTTGTATATTTGCTAGGGCAACGTTGGCTTCACCATGGAAAGCTACTGGTAGCATTCTTCCTCTTTTCTTAAATCATGTTAGGTATGACGTCTGCTCTTGGACTTTGTTTTATAATGGGAAGATGTGTGGATTGGTAATTCCTCTCTGAAAGATATTCCCTTCGTTGTACTCTATTTCTTTCCTTACAAAGGAACCTATCTTTAGGTTCCTAAGTCAGCCTTGTTTCTAGTGAACTCAATTGGGACTTGGGTTTTAGAAGAGGATTGAGAGATAGTGAGGTTGGTGATTGATTTTGTTGTTGGATGTTTTGGAGAAAGCTTCTTTTGATTTCTCTGTTCTAATAAATGTGTTTAGGCCCCCCACCTGAAAGATGCCTTCACTTGTGCCTCATTTTTCAGGTCTTTATGCTCTTCAGCCCAGGGACTGACTGACCTTCTAGCTAACAGGGGTTTTATGGGGATCGTTTATTTTGGGCTCAAATGTAACTTGTACTTTTTCTAGTTTTTCTGTCTTTCGGATTTGGATGAGGTGAATCTCACACCTCTCCCCAGGTTGTTTGTAATGTTATATATTCTGTTTCTAATAAAATTACTCTATTTATCAAAAAACAAAATCTCAGATGAAATTCCTGAAACCCCATGGCCCTCTGTTCCATTCCTCATCCACCCAATTGTTACATGAAAATACATGTGATGTACTAAATAATAATCCCTTGTGCAGGGATGAATGCTGAGCATGTACAGGGTTGCCTTGACCAATGGACTGGAACATTGCAATAACTTTCCTCCATAGCTCCTGTACTCATCTCCAACACCAAAAGCTGCCCTGGGTTTCCAAAAGAGTTATGTTGGTCTGGGCATTGGGGCCTTAAGAGTAACCTTTTTTGCTTGTTCATTCTGTTCGACATTTTTTCTTGGGGCTGGGTGGGGGGTTGCATATGTTTGTTTCCTTTGTTACTGATCATGGAAGTAAAAAGCAGCAGCTTATTCAAAGACATCTATTGCTTGGTGGAGAAACTGGACCATGACATTCAGTCTTTTATTTGTTTTCCTCACCTTATAAGAGCTTAAGGGTTTTTCCATGTTTTCTATTCTTAGTGGAGTACTTATTATATAGATGAACCTTTTTGCAGATTAATGAAATACTTTACTTTGTACTTCAAGGTAAAATAATATATGGACGATGCTTGGATTCATTAGTAGAGCCTGTGTTCTAGTTAGAAGTTTTACATACTGCGAATATTTTGAGGGATCTTTTCCCTTTTTTATTAATTATCTGTTTTATACTAAATAATGAGTGCTTACTGGACTGCGTCAAGCTTCCTGAAGTATAAATGAGATTCTTGAGATGTAGAGGGAGAGACTTTGAGGCCTTTCTTGCTCTTCCTGTAGGTTAGAAACCACTATGATCAAGTTGGGTGTCTTGTTGGGGTGGATCAAGACCTACTTTTCTTGTTTTGGTGTTATACTTGAGGTGGTGCAATTTTCTGACTGCTGAGTCTATCTGGAGGATTTTGTTAGTTGCCTAGCCCGATTTCTTTCTTCCCTTAATATGTGTCTATATTGTCATCTGCCTGGACTGTTGTTTGTGCACCATCTAATTACTCTTGAGTCTTCTTCCATAACATTGTCTATATAATTCAGTGATTTCCCCAACTTTAATCCTTGGTGCACAGCTAATAGTTAAGCTCTAGTTGAATCTCCATGGCCGATTAGCTCCAAGAACATTGCTAAGAAATCATCATCTTTGAAGACTTGTCCAATTCCTAAGTTACCTAGATTGTTTGTGCTACATCCATCAGAGTTTAACTTTGTTAAATTTTGTGGTGCTGGATGCCAATAAATGATTTTTTTGTTCCTTGTGGAAGATGCTGATTCTATGCTTTGTCAATCCTTTATGATGTCATCCACTGTGAAAGGGCTAAAATGACTCAAGTTTTAACCCAATGCATCACCTTTACCTGTTTACCATAATGTTCTCAACCAAAGCATCTTTGGTGCAAGTTTCTCCTTTGAAGATTCTAGCATTTCTTTCTTTCCATATTAGACTATATTACTACAGCATTTGTACGTCTCCATAAAATCTTATAATTATTGCATACCTGAAATAATATTACCTGCTTGTTGTCTAAATAATTTATACTTATCAAAATGTTATCTGTGTTGTTTAACCTACCGGTTTGAAACAAGTTTCAGGATCAAAAAGCGTAAAGTGGATGAATTGGAAAATGTAGAGGATCTTCAGGGGTCAACTTCAGTTGGAGCCTTACAACAAGAATTAGGTACTTCTTTCTGACCCAGTTAAACAATATTACCCTCAAGTTTCTAGCTACTGCTAATACACTATAGTTGGATGATATTATTTAGCAGAGTGCAAAGCAAACTCTACAACATGAACTTCTGAAATGGTTTGTATTTGCTATCAATGGATTGAAGATATATGTATGTATGTATGTATATGTATATGGTGATTATTGCATTTGAAAGTTCTGTGTTGTTTGATGTCTCTAATACCTGTGTAGGGGTTCATCATACTTGAGGTTAGTTCCTCTAAATCTTAGGCACTGTGGTGGCAGTTATAGCCTTGCCTCCCCCTCTTCCTCATTGGAAGTTATGGCATTGAGCTGGTCTGGGTTTGGGGATTGATGATGATAAGATAAATGGTGTAAACTTAGAAGACTTTCTTGTTTTTTTTCTTTGGTTTGTTCCTTTTTGGGAGGGGATTTGAGAAATAAGAACGATAATATAGTGTTGGGTTCCTTATCTGAGCCTTTGACAGTTGAGCCAGAGCTGGGCAAGTTCTTATGTTAGTAATAAATTGTTCGTATTTCTCAAATCCCCTCCCAAAAAGGGAAAAAAAAACAAAAAAAAAAGTTTCTTTGATCCTCTTAATTTTGAAATAGAGGAAATGTGGGGCAATGATCTTGAGATTCTTTGCTCTATGTACAGGAGGTAGATGGGGATTGGGCTTGGGGTGTGATGAATGTGTATGGGCCAAATGAGGAGGGGGAGAGATTGAAGTTTTGGGAGGAGTTGGGTAGGGCTCAACAGAGTTGGGAGGGACCATGGTGTTTGGGAGGGGATTTCAATATTGTCAGAAGAAGAAGCGAGATGAAAGGGGGGAGGGAGAGGAGAATTAGTGTGGGAATGAGGAGATTTGAGAATTTTATCAATGAGCATGAACTGGTTGACCTTCCCCTGAGTGGTGGGAGGTTCACATTGTCAAATGGTCAATATCCAACGATCGGTTGGAGGCTTGGAGAATGTGGGAGATCTGGTGCAGGAACCTTTATAGATGTATTTGTCAGATCATAAACCAATTCTGTTAAGAAAATATGCAGAGATTTCAGGTCTGAGGCCTTTCAGATTTGAAAATGTTTGGTTACTTCAACCAAATTTTGTGGATTGGGTGGAGGAGAAATTGAGAAATTCACAGGTGGAGGGTTCAGCTGGCTCTAGGGTAGTGAAAAAATTACAGTTGATCAAAGAAGAGCTGAAAGGAAGGAGATTGGAAGAGTTTGGGGATGAGAAGTAGGTAGAAAAAAGGAGGTGTTGGAGAAGATTGCCAGATTGGAGAGATTAGAGGAAGATGAGAACCTTATAAGAGAAGCTAAGGTGGAGAAAAAGAGGGGCTGGAAAGGGAATTAGGGAGGCTACTTTTGAGGGAGGAAGTGAGGTGGAGACAGAAGTCAAGGGCATTATGGTTAAAAAAGGGGGACAAAAACACAGCATTTTTCCATGCATTTGCGAATGGAAGAAGAAGAGGAAGAGGTTGAGGACTGGGATGACATTCAAAGGCTTGCGGTGGACTTCTATAAGAAGCTGTATACAGGGAGGTAATGGGGTTGGAATGTGTTTTAAAAGTACAAGGCGCACAAAATTTTCAGAAAATGCAAAAAAAAAAAGAAAAAAATATATACAAATTTAAAAAAATCAGAAAAAATAAAAAAAACAATACAATCTAAATTTCTAAGAGTTAAGAGTTAAGATATGAGTATGAAAATGCCATCTAAAGTTCTAATTTCTATTCTAAAGTCAAAACTAAGTCTAAAGTTCTAAACAATTAAATAATTAAAATAACATAGTATCAATTATCAAATTCAAACTATCAATGATTCAAATAATCACATTATTCAAATATAAAAAGATGTTAAAGTAATGACACCAATGTGCTTTAGTGTGTATAAATTACAAAGAGTTTAAATATCATGAATAAGATAAGATACAAAAATACAAACATAAAAGAAGTTAAAAAGACACTTACATCTCTAATATGATCCGTTTGGCTGCTGAGAAAGGATGTGATGAGAATGGATGGGATGAGAAGATAAACTTTATTTTCTCATTCCTGTCATCCTGTGTTTGGTTGTTGAGACTGGTTATCCTACCAAATATGCTTCCCAGTGTTTGGTTGCTGAGAAAAATTACAGAAACTACAGATTAAAAATTACAAAAATTTCTACTTTTCTATTTAATTACAAATTACAAAAATTACAGAAATTACAGATTTGTTGAAAACCAATTCAACAAATGGGATCAATAAATCTGCATAGGGGTTTATCAGATCTAAAAAAATAAGAAGCAAGATGGAAGGAATACCTGATAGTGCTTTGAAGAGTCTAAAAAACAAAAAACACCACTGTAATTTAGTAGATCTAGCACAAGGGGTTGCAGATCTGAAAAACATGATTGTTCCCGTTCTGACGTACACCGTATACACACAATCATCAGACGATTGGGCAATAATGGC